TTTTTTTTTTTTTTTTTTTTTTTTTTTTTTTTTCTTCCGCCCTAATACATTATCTAAGTATCTCTCGTTGTTATACACATTGAATACACACACAAATAATACGCACACGTGCTACGTGGTTGTACAAGTTACGATAACTTATCGATCGGGTAATGTTAAAAACTGATTATTAAATTTTGAATGATAACGCTCGAACGAACGATTGTCCATCTCGTCTAAATAGATTTGCTCGTTTTTTCCGTGCTGATCAAAACTGCACTCTTATTCGAGATCGATCGTGATCCAAATTTTAATAATTATACGGGATATATATGTTATGTTACATATATCAAGGAAAAGTGCATGGTTATACGTAAAGGTATTTATCGTTTAATAATGAAATTTATTATTCGTGACTAGCTTGTCAGAAATAGAAAAGAAAAAATTTTACTTGTTTATTATATTAGCTATGAATTTGCTACACTGGAATTTTTTATAATTCGTTACAAAAATTTTTTTTTCAACAAATTGATTAGATATAAAATTTTTTAAATTTCAAGTTTCAAATTTATTATTGAATTGCATGGAAAATTTATCATAGAAATAAAAATAGAATATTAAATATCAAATCTTGAACATTTCATTGGTCTGACATCAATTAAATATTTAAAACTTGATAGTTATTATTTTATTTTCCTATTTTAACTCGAAAATAGGAATGTTAAATGCGTAAATGAAATTATTTGGCACGAATTTTTGAACATTTCCCGAAATTCAAAATATTAAATATTATTATTAATAAAAAGACATCACACGTTTTATTATTTCATTATTAGGAAATTAAGTTATTAATAAAAAAAACTAAAATAAAGAACAAAGGATTTATTAATATTAAAATATTTCCAATATTCCAATTTAGTCATTTTTGTATTTTAAGGCTAATTATTATAATTATTATAGCTAATCTAATATTAGTAAAAACTATTAATATTTTGTCAAGAATTAAGCCTATATCATAAAGTTAATATTATTATTATATTATATAATAAAAAATAATAATTTTTATTATTCCAAGAATCGAGACAATCAATCAATCAATTCTATTTTCACCAATCAATAATATTCAATAATAAATCGAGCGATGATATCATCGATGCTTTTTAAAATTCTAAAATACAATTTTGCAAAAGGTTATTATCATATTATAAAATTCTAATTTTATCGTGTAAAATAGATCTTGCCAAATTTTATCTCACAAGACACGTTGCGTCATGCACTTTTTCTTTTTCCGTTAAAATAAATAGAATAAATCTCGTGTCATTCGTACAATACGAAATGAGAATTATATTATCGAATTAGGAATTAAAAAAAAAAAAAGAAAAATTAATAAACAAAAAAAAAAAAAGAAAAAAAAGAAGAACAAAAATTAATGCGTTGATATTTTAGAGAGATTTTTGATCGATCTTTCGTTATTTCTATCGATTTCCTCAATATATGTTCCCCTGATATGAACGTACGGAAAGTTGGGCAACAGGGAGAATATTGAAGAGACCGTTTGCTTATAAAAACGCGCATAAAAATTGATTGAATTAAATGGTTGGTTATTCAGTTGCGGAATATTTTACAACGTCAAATACATCGTCGACTGATTGAATTCGCCGATTCGAAATTTGTTTTATTTAGAAAGTTTAATCGATTGGAATTGGCATTTGATGAAATGCATCAATTATATAATCTCGTAAAGGAGCCAGGGAGTAACGTCGTTTAATTATGAAAATTAATTAATAGAATTCAATTATTTTAAGATTGTTATATAATTGATTATGATTTGAAAAAAATAATATCTCTATTAACAAGTATAAAATATAATAGTAAGATCGATATCAATTTTAACAAAAATTTTTGCCAGTACAATTTTATTAAATGTTATCATTAAACTAAAACAAAAAATTAAGAAGTAAATAAACATATCGTTATACGCATAGAATAAAAAATAAATATTTTAGAAATGTGTTTTTACTTTTGACATTATTCGCTGGCGCCTTCAATATGCAACAAATTCACGCTTGCAGCAACAATTTAAACGCACAGCGTGAAGAAATATGACAAAACTGATCAAATTTATTTGAGACTATACAGTGCAAAAATCGTTTCATCTATAAAATCTTGCAGTAAGCAGTACCCTCATTGCTAACTTCATGTTCTCTATTATTAAATTAATGCGTGTTACGAGTCTACAGCTTTTGCCTAATTAAAACGCGTAGATTTCGCCCACGAAACCATATCTTTTATCGTGCTATCATCAACCTCGTTAATGCTATGTTTTATTTATAAGCACGCGTTCAATGGCGTAGTCAGATTCTTGATTTTGTTCCTATTTTCTTTCTTTCTTTCTTTCTTTTTTAATTAAACGTATTTAACGTTCTCTTTTTTATTCTAAATAAATTAGATTATTTAGTATTCTTAGATTAATGTTTGAATAGTGATTAATCGTACGAATAGTGAAGAAACAAACTTGAGAATAAAAATGCACAAAAGACATAAATGTAATTGTTGATAACCTCGAAAATAATAAAAACGTTGCATTGAGAATTATTTTTCAATATGAATATTGACGAATAAGTTCTTTTCATGCAAATAATATACATAGCATTGATGAGTTATAAACATCACTTTGTGTTAAAGTCTGATTTATTTTTGACACGAAACAAATTATTTATTCAATCTAGCGTGAAATTCAATATTTCCATTATAAAATTTTAAATATATTAAAATGTCAAATAATTTTTCTAAAATATAGTAATTAAAACAAATTAAAATACAAATCATTAAATTTAATATAAAAAAAAAAATGAATATTAGTACAAAAAAATCAGATTCTAAATAAATCATTCCAATCACATTTGACTACGCCATTTGCGCAAGCTTTATCGTGTCTAGTTACTCTATAAACCGATTACGAACACTTCGATCCTCTCTGTTCCCCCACTGATCCTTGTAAATACGTGGTGTGCATATTGCGCGACTACGAAAATAAAAATCTCTCACATGTTACTCTGCACTCTTCCCGCATAAATATAATACCTCTTTTTTTTCTTTTCTTTTTTTTTTCTTTCGTATACAAAAACATTCGCATAATCGATATGTCAAGAAAAATACGTTCTGCATACTTACGTCGTCATGAATCCTCACGACACATCTATATTCGCGATCTCAAAACTATGATAATTAATATCCCTTCTAATATAAAAATGAAAATCTTTAACGAGACTGGATACTAACAATGTTGGTTTTGCAGATACAAGTGCGAGAAAAATGACATACCTATTACCGTCACGAACGGTTCGACGTTACCACTTGTGGAACGACCAAACGATGAGGAAGCGGCCCTTTACAATCCGTTTGAGCATAGAAAGTTAGCACATCCCACATCGGATTTAGACACATTGATACATCTGCTGAAAGGAAGCTTGGGAACTGGGATCTTAGCTATGCCTATGGCCTTCCGGAATGCTGGTCTTTTGTTTGGTTTATTCGCCACGTTCTTCATCGGAGCAGTTTGCACTTATTGCGTGCATATTTTGGTTAAATGTGCACATAACCTATGCAGGCGAACTCAAACACCGAGCCTAGGGTTCGCTGATGTCGCAGAAGCGGCATTTCTTGTCGGTCCTGAACCTGTACAGAAATATGCTAGATTAGCAAAGTAAGATTTTATCGTTCTTTTTTTCTTTTGATTGGTTGAATTTTCTTATTTTTTTTTTTTTTTTATATTTCGAAATCATTCTGTAACCATTTGTATATTTAGTTACATAAATTATCGATGAATTATTTGGATACATTAGGTTACAAAAATCCATGAATTATTTATTAGAAAATTAGATAACGAAATTATCGAAAGTATATTTTAATAACAGAAGTGAAAATTTTTACAGCAAAGAAATAAGTAAATTGTTAAATAAACGAAAGGTACTCATAAATAATAGAAATTAATTAATTAATAGAAAGTAATTTTAATTTTTGAATATTTTCAGAGCGACAATCAATTCGTTCTTAGTGATCGACCTAATAGGCTGTTGCTGCGTGTATATTGTTTTCATCTCGACCAATGTAAAAGGGGTAGTTGATTATTATACGGAAACCGACCGAGATATCCGGTTTTATATGGCGGCGTTGTTACCTTTCTTAATCATATTCTCTCTCGTGAGAAACTTGAAATATCTGGCGCCATTTTCCATGCTTGCAAACGTTCTGATCGCCACTGGAATGGGGATCACGTTCTACTATATTTTCAGCGATTTACCAAGCATAAAGGATGTACCGAACTTCTCGAGCTGGTCTCAACTACCTCTCTTCTTTGGCACGGCTATTTTCGCTCTCGAAGGCATTGGTGTAGTAAGTATAATTGGAATAACGTAAATATGTATTATGATTGCAATTATTATGATTCGATTAAATATCGCAAAATTGGATTTTATTTATTAACAAATATTCATTTATTTTGAGAATTCTATTATGTTTTATTCCATATTATAATTATCTTTTTTTTATTAAGTTTATTAAAGAAAATATTGTCTTTGAATATTGTCTTTAATAATTTATACATATTCTCCATAATATACAATTCGCTCGATAATTTTAAAAAAGTCGAGCGAATCGTTGATATTCCGTGCACAGCATAACAGATCGCAAACGTAGCAGTGGAATCGCGTTTAGTATTTCGATCATGCTATAAGCGGTTACGAACGAGTTACCGGTTAGATGCCGGATCGAAAATTCCAATGAACGATCGCGGTGAAATTTATCCTTCGCTTTGCTATTGCGCACTTTTTAAAGAGCCTTGAAACTTCGCAATTTCTTTCTTTTTTTTTTTTTTTTTTTTTCTATTTAATCATATAACGTTTCTCTTTACTTATAATAAAAACAAAAATTGAAAAATATTAAAATCATCAAATCCAAATAAATGTTATAAAATATTTATAAATAAACATAAACATGTATTATTATATGATATATTATTAAATAAAATATTATAAAATATCCGCCTTTAAATAAGTGATTGATTTTAAGACGTAAAAGTACCATGTAATAGACGCAAGCTATTATATAATGGCGTATAACAAGAAACAAGAATTGCAAATCCTTTTGTTGAATTTATCATCACACGTAATACGATTACTGCGATTTGTTACAAGAAAGACGCATAACAGTAAATCTTACGTTTAACTTTTGTTACGTGTATTCCTTTCAAAGCATACCAATTATTTCATTCAATATGATAACAAAATCAACAAGCACCATTGTCATAATCGTAAAATTCCATTGGATCATATGACAGGTTCGTGATATGATCGACAACGATGCTTAAGGACATTCTTTCGATTTCTTAATCAAAATATTTTTCAATTTCCTTACATCATAATTTATATCTTCTCATAAAAAATTTTACATTCAATCGAATATTTCGTTACTTCATACGTTTTTATTATCAATTTACATATTTTGAATATTGAAAGGAATAGTTGAAAAATTGTTCATCAATTGTCGGCCAAGATAAAATTTAATAATGAATGAAAATTCTGCATAACAGACATTCCAATCTAATTAATTCCACTTTTCACAGGTGATGCCTCTCGAGAACAACATGAAGACACCAACGCACTTCATCGGTTGTCCAGGAGTTCTGAACACCGGCATGTTCTTCGTAGTATTATTATACAGCACCGTAGGTTTCTTCGGCTATTGGCGATACGGTGAGGACACGAAGGCCTCGATCACCCTGAACCCAGAGCAGAGCGACATCCTCGCCCAATCCGCCAAACTGATGATCGCGGTAGCCATCTTCCTCACTTACGGCCTACAATTTTACGTGCCCATGGAGATCATCTGGAAAAATGTTAAACAATATTTCGGCTCGAGAAAACTCTTGGCCGAATACATAATCCGTATCATCATGGTGATTTTCACCGTTACCGTCGCAATTGCTATCCCAAATCTAGGGCCGTTCATTTCCTTAGTAGGCGCTGTGTGCCTGTCCACTCTGGGCCTGATGTTCCCATCGGTGATCGAGTTGGTCACCGTGTGGGATCAGGAGAATGGATTGGGGGCGTGTTACTGGAAGCTCTGGAAGAACCTTGCTATCATCTCGTTCGGCGTGCTAGGGTTTCTCACCGGTACCTACGTGAGCATCCAGGAGATTCTCGATGAGAATAAATGAAGCGCCGGGTTCGAAGGAGCTGCGGTGCGACGGAATAATCGCTCAGCGCGTACCATTGATGCCGGCGTGTCGTTGGACACCTTCCGCGCTCTCGTCGAGCGGATTCGTCGTACCAGAGGGGCGACGATCACGACCACCTGGAGGATGATGCCGCTACCGGCCCATCCAGCGTAGTAACGTCACGCGGCCTGGCGAGCTTCGAACTTCTAGCAGCTTCGTCTCGCTCCTTCTTACAATTTCTCTTCGCATCGATAGCACGACGACTGTAACGACGATGAAGACGTCAAGTAGTAGACGGGTTCTACGATTAATTCTGAGACTTTTGTTTTATTTCACACTATTTTTATTACACTCTTGTTATTCATCGTCTCTATTAATTGTAAATAGATAAGAAGAAGTCATTATGTTCAGGGGAGTTCGTGTATTATTTTGTAATACGAGATATTATTTGTTTTTAAAAGTGTTCGCGAATTGTTTATTACGATGAATATTTGAACATTTGTATATCCGTCATTACAAATGTATAATGTGTCTGAATCGGTCTAATTTTAGGCTGGTATTTTGATAAAATATAATTAATTATGAAATGTATGGATGTTTATTAAAGAAAGGTGAATCAAAAGGTTAAAATTTCTATCATGAAGAATATTAAGACGGTAAAATGAAGTGAGAAGAAGAGATTAATTTTAATTGTTTATCCTTAGCTATTTTACATTTAATAAAAGATGATCCAAAAGACGAAGAAGAGATATACACGAACTCTTTTTGTAGAAAGTAACACAGATTATTCGTCATCATTGCTTCATTTTTCTCCGCAACTTGTGTAATCGATAAGAAATGTATGTCACATAGAATATGGCTTAATATGTGTTATAGAAAGCATAATCGAATTTTACCGAATTACGTCAGAGTCGTCGCTATTGACGTCGCGCCGTACAACACCGTACGCCAAATGTACGGTAAGAATCATTAATGTGGCGTGTTAATCCTCGAATAGATATTTATAATTTCCTCGAAGATTTAATTTTATCAGAAATGATAACGTATTTGTCATATAAATTATAACGACATTTTTCATTTTTAATCGATCAAATTTAAAGAAAAATTCTCTCTGCAATTTGAATTCTTAAATTTTTGCATTTCAAAAATTACTTATTATATTCTTATAAATAAAAATTCTCAAACTTTTTTTCTAAAAATTAAAAACGAAATTAACGAAATAAGATGTCAAATGTAATAGGAAAATATTGGTTTCGTGCGACATTAATGAGTTTTACCGCGCATCGCCATACGTTCGAGCGATTAACCGAGCAAAAGTCAATAGCACAACGTGGCTCGGAGTACCCGGATCCACGGGATGGTGGATTTCACGATGCGCGTGATCCGTGCTAATAACTGAGACGAGTGTTATCATCAAGGACGTGGATGGAAGCGCCCTTTCTTTCTTCCCCATTTTTCTGTCTTTTATTATTTATTTAAGTTGCGTAGACCGTACGCACGACGAAGTTTTTCCATCGACTTCACAATCAACTGCAGGACGGTTTTTTTTTTCATTTTTTTCTTCTTGTTTTTAGTAGCGTATGTACGCATTAAGTTAATAGATATATAAATTATACTTAAGCGTCGTTTTACCTACGAACGAACAAGGACCGTTCGCGTTTTTTA